GGAGCTGCTAATATATTCTTCAATTATAATCTTGTCGATTTACTGACAGACCCACAAATCTTATCCTCATAACATCCACGTGCACTGGTAGATGGCACTGTGTGCATTGGAGCACATTAAATGTAGAAAAGTGCCATTATACTTCCTGTAAAGGTTGATCATATTTAGTTTCAATGTGGCTGAAATTCTCTCTTAATGCCTTTCAAGCTCAGTGCTCTTTCACGGAATATAAATATGAACTCGAGCTCTCTTTGCTCTTTTTATACAACTCAATGGATTTAAATGCCCCTTTTCACAAGTATAATATACTAATAAAAGGGAAACGGCTGAAATTCAGAAGTGTCATTTGTAATTTGGGGTATTTATCCAGTTTTTCCATAATGTTCAATAAAACGAAATGATTCATGTGATGTGTTTGCTATCTATACAATATATTGTTGTAGCACATGGTAATGCATTAAACCTGCAGTCTTTCTAATGGCCACCAGGGGGCAATTAGATGTGGTTGCAAACAAATATTTGAGGCAATGAGGAAATGCATATATATGCACAGACTGGACAAAGACTAGCAGATGTATGTATAACACACTTTAATGTACACACATACACACACACGTGTCCTTGTTTGAGTCCAGTAAATGCGATGTCCCCACACAGACACACTCAGTGATGAAGGCTGTGCTATCAGTCCCACTTGGATGATTTCCTCCTTGTGGTTCTCTCTCCTTCGCTGTCGATGGCCTCATACAGCTGCTGGTCATTTTCCTTCATTGCGTGCAGGTAGCCCAAGTAGCCCACACATAGCGTGATGCTCAGCAGTCCAAAGGCCATCACAGGTTTATTCTGCAAAGTGAAATAGAGATGTTACTGAGCGCGCTCCAGTCCATGCTTTGTGTGAAGGCTGAAGTTCATACTGCTGGTAGAGAAACAACAGGAGAAACCTTTATTACAGTAGTCTAGTACTGCAATTGTTGGTATTGATACCTTGAAAATACTGGGCCAATACTGCTGATACCAGTACCAATACTTTATACTATGAAGAGAGCTTCTGTGAGGGAGAGTAGTGTCATGGTTTAAGAGATGGATTAGGATTCAACTTTATTGTCATTACACATGTATAAACACAGGGTAACGAGTGAGCAAAGAGCAGATTACATACAGATAATCTGTACATTACTATACAGAGAGCAAATATACAGATGTACTATAAACAAATATACTTTAATCATAGTCAATTTGTCAAATTCTCAACACATTTTAAAATTGTATTGAAACTGGGTTTAATGGCTACTTGGACTCTGAATGTGCCTGTCAACAAAAAAAAATCTTAGGACATTTTTCGCAGTGGATGTTTGAGGGTTTTTTATGAACAAAAACAAAATTGTGTATTTAAAACTAATCAGAGGCTCCAAACTGAGCTTAAATAATAGAAACAAAGCATCGATCCACAACTCCAGCCTCTCTCACCACCAAGCCCCCCCGCAGTGCAGCAGGCCGGACACAGTCCGTGTCACTTAGAGGAGAAGAGCTAGTTCACATTCCAAGGTAATAACAACTCATTGGCCTGCAGCTCTGTGTGTGTGTGTGTGTGTGTGTGTGTGTGTGTGTGTGTGTGTGTGAGAGAGTCTCACGGGCTTAATGAAGAGCTCGGGGTTCACGGCCCGGAACAGCGTGGTGGTCTGTACGCTCCTCAGCCCAGGTGTCCTGAACCCTTTTTCACCGTGACTCTCCACCCCTGCTCCAGCCTCTTTGTCCGCCATGACCTACACTTCTACACACACAAAAACAGAGTACAGTACACTTAAACCACCTAAGCTAGCTAACTAAGCGCAGCCATATTGAAAGTCAAAGACAGCCAGGAAAACAAGTGTAGCGCTTTTCCAATCACAGCGCTCTCTGTGGGTGTGAGCGGGAAAAACATGTGCAGGACGCATTCAGGAAACAGAGACTGAAAGGGAGGCTCTGATGTTTAATGCTCAACCTTGTGGACATATGTTTCTTGAGTGCGTTCTTTAGTGTATTTGTGTTTATGCTGATGTTCATAAATAAAGTCCAGGCAAAAAAAAAAAAAACACGTGACCGGAAGTATCTGTGTGGCTGTCATAATAAGAGTTGTATTTACACAAATGAAAACTGCAAACTTGTAATTCAAAATTTACTATATTTTAACTACTTGTATGCAGAGATGGGCAGTAACGCGTTACTGTAATCTGATTACTTTTTGCAAGTAACTTGACCAACACTGCTTGTATGCAGCCTCCTTCGCTCCGAATTTTTTTTTTTTTAATTTTTTTTTTAATTATTATTGCAAAAGCACAAAATACAGATATACAAATACAAAATAGCAAACACAATGTCAGGGGGTTCGTATAAAAAAGCAAAATAGACACAGTCTATTATAGAATCACATGATATTGAACAGGGAACATAGGTTTATGGTTTTGACAGCTTTTTGATTTTGAGAATGTTGTATGGTTTTAACATATTGTTTGGTTTCATTTAAAAAACACCGAAAGGATGGTTTTGCGTTAGAAAATTTCGACTTATGTATATGAAATTTGGCCAATAATATCAATAAGTTAATCAAATAAAATTCGTTTGCCCTGTGCATGGGGAACTTAAAGAAACCAAACAATATTTTCTCGTAACAAAGAGAGAACTCAGAAAAGATAAAGGAAACAACAAAAACACAAAATTCTTGCCAGAAAAGATTCGTGTATAAGCATGACCAAAATAAATGAGAAATATCTTCCTTCACACAATTACAAAATGTACAGTTAATATCAATGTCCTTTTTATAACGTACAAGAAAAGACTCCTTCGCTCCGAATTTAGCTGCGAAACTCGCACTTATAAGCGAAGGAGGATGGGGCGGAAGGAACAGGAGTGGAGATTAGCCAATCAGAAAGCAGGACACCCCGCTGTCTGCCATTCACAACCACAGAGCAGAGCGAGTCACGGACAGTTTCCTTCAAAGCCCGTACTCGCTGGAGAAAGGAGAGAGACTTTGGGAAAGATGGGATCGTTATACGTTAAAAGACTAGAAACTGATACCGGTGTGATGCAGAGGAGTAGCCGTGATTTTGTTTGAATGCAACATACACCTGTGTAATATGTAATATGTGTAAGTAAAACAAGGCGATGTGTAGTTTGGAATATGTGAACATATGTGAATGTGTTAGTTTCCCTTGCCCTCTTTAGTTCTGTATGTAAAATAAGATGAAAATCAATAAAGAGAAAGTATTTAAAAAAAAAAGCTCGTACTCATTAATTTCAAGTCAGATCAGTCACTCGTTATTTATGTTACAGAAACGCAGAGGTGTGGCTTTTTGTTTTGTTTTATAAATTCAAGTAATTTTCATTTTTGTCTCAAGATAATATTGATACGTGCAGCATTTGCATGAGCTGTTTCTTTTGTTAATTATATATTTTAAAATACTTTAAAAAAATATCAAAATTTAGGCTTGTGTTTCTGAATCCATGAAGAACAGATTCTTTCCAGAGATATGTGGGCCTCATAGCACTACCACCACAAACATATGATTTAAGAGAGGCCTTCTTGAATGTTACACTGAGGGCCAGATTAGGCTGTTCTTTATGTTCTTTACTTTGTTATGCCATGGGCAAAATACTATCAATATATTTTGAATGAACTCAAAGCATGATGATATTACATGCCATATATACAGTAATATATACAAAACTGCTGTGTCATATTGAGTAAGCTGTTTATTTATTATTAATTCTGCCATATAACTTTTTGGTAAATGGCATAATTTCTTACACGCGTCTTCAGCCTGCACTGCATTTTCTCAAAAACAAGGCAGCTAAATATGCGACTGGACATAGTGTCTGAAGTTCCTCTAAAACATTTCCAAGGACACTTTCACGGAAATTACATAACACCAAAGACTGCAGACAGTATAACTGAGTTTTACTGTCGCTGAGGTTACATAGTGACAAAAACTTTTTTTTATATACTGGCTTCACATTATAGGTGGAACACCTGTACCTGTATCTAATTTGTGTAATATACTGGGATATTTATAATTAGAGCTGTTTGTTATATTTTGTAACTTTTGAATATATTGCATTATTTAATTTAGAGTTAGTTACTGTCTTGGAGCAACTGCGACCACATCATTTACTCTGGTATTAACAAAGTATTCTGATCTCAAGATATTTATTCTATGCCACATCTTCTAAGGGATTTCTACCCAGAAAAAAGTATAACAAAAAGAATATTATGAAGTTTAGTAATTCAGAAAAATTATTAATTTATTGATTTAATTACCTTTTTAAAAGTAGTAGAGTAATAATGTAGTATTCAGTAGTATTGAAGTAAGGATGGCACACCAACATGTCTTGTTTACTGTGATTATTAATCATTTACATCTACATTTGTTAGAGCACTAAAGGAAGAGAACAGCTACGATACATCCTGTCGCCTGTGATCCTAGTGGTAAAGGAAGTACTAAAGACATAAAGACCTTAATGTTGTTCACTTAATTCAACATTATTATTCCCTGAGCTCAGGTTATTGTAACATCTGCAACTGACCAACACAAAAGTCACCCAAAGTTCAAGCTCACAGCTGTAGAAAACATTCATACGTGACAAGGTGCTGACTGCTGGCATGCAGTTGAGTCACTGGTTGGGTTTTGGGTGCCCAAGTATAGTGGGGGCTAACGATACTCTCACTCAACTAGTCATGGCAGATGGCTGCCTTTTCCTGACCCTCACTTGGCAACAGTGGGAAGGGAAATCTTTACCACTGCACTTGCACTTGCCTTTGAACAAGCCTCAGAAATTATCTGATAGTTGGAGTTTCTTTGTATAATTCTGGGTTATTGTAGTATTGTCTTTACCTTACAATATAAATCACTTTGAGGCAACTGTTGTTGTGATTTTGTGCTATATGAATAAACTTAAATGAAAATGAGGCATGAAAATGGCAGCTTGAAGACTCAGGCCTTAGGTTTGATGTATGATTAATTTATCAGCAGGTAAGGAGATCGCATTCTCATCAAAGTTGCATGTTTCCATCCTGCCAGATAGAAGAGGATAGAAAGATAACACAGCTGAAACAGTGCATGTTTCCCCCCCACAATGAGCTTGAACAGGCAGCATATATTTACATTAGACAGCTCCATGGTGATGGTGTCTATCTCTGCACAAACACAGACACTCACAGGTAGGAAAACAAAACAAAAAGTGTGTGATCCAGCCAGCCACAGGCTGCTGTTATGTCTTCCTGGAAAGGTGTGGCACTGAGCTCTTACCTGCAAGTAAGCAGTGAAGGACGCGCGGTTGATACTCGACACAATCCGCTACCAGAGAGAAGAACGCCCTCCAGCACCACCGGTAAGCTATCTGCTGTTTCTTTACTGTATGACAGAAATACAACCTCCTCACTGTGTCTGTGGGTGATGTTACTCTCTGTGTTTGGACAGTTATACAATACCATAAGAGTATATCATACGTGACATTTTGGGGCATTCAAAAGGTAAAAAGCTTTTTTGGATCACTACAGAAAAGTGGAAGGACCTTTGAGAATATGTTATTAGACTTTGACAACACTTTAGCAGGTTCGGAAACAAGAAAAAGAAACTTGGTTGAATTTCCACACGTATGTGTATGTATGTGTGTTTGTTGTTTCGTGTTTAAGAATAGAATATTGCATCTGTGACAAAGTGTGATACCAAAAATTGTCAGTTGCAATATATCTTGTAATCCTTCTTTGATGTAGCCTGTATAGAATCTGCCAGTGTCCAAGGCTGGATAACCAGCTGGGGAAAGGGCGTAGGGAAGCTTTGTGCAGTTTTGAATAACTGCAAATTAGTTTCAGTGGATCACAGAGCTACTTTTACTATTATATAAGAATCATGTATCACAAGTAGTTGGGTGAAAATTTTAATATCAATTATAAATATTTGGTTTTACCATAAATTATCTTGTAATTTCCTGTAATTAATCAAGCCCCATACAGATGAGATCAGACCAATTAATCAGTAAAAATCATGTTTTTCTAAGGTGCCTCAGCCTCAGCGCTTCTTTGCAATGATCTTTCATGCGTCTGGAACTGTACAGGAGAGACAACCAGAGGCTCTCTCTCATTTGATTATTGGATGATGGTAGAGCACTAATATGTTGGTCCAAAATGTCCCCTTGGGGTTCAGTCAGGTTGATGGTGACTTTTGGTCTAAATCAAAGTGCAGTTAGATCCATGGGTACTTTGACACAGTTTCTGTAATGTTGCTCTAATGTTGGTGAATTGATGTGTGGCAAGCTTTACAGTGGATCTTATACTAAATCATGCCTGAAGTACAGACTTTAGCTTAAATAAAAACGATTGCATGAACTATAGCCATTTTTATACATTATGCTTGTCCAAAAACGTATGTATATAATACATATCGCAAAATGAAAAGAAACAAGGAAACTGCATACATAATGCATGTGATTTAAAGTTAAGTTGACATCCTATGACTTTGGTTGTACATGACTACTGGTTTGTTCCCTGACAGGAGATCAAAGATGAACTGGGGTTTTCTAGAGAATGTCCTCAGTGGGGTCAACAAGTACTCCACTGGAATTGGGCGAATCTGGCTCTCTGTGGTCTTCCTCTTCAGGATCTTGGTGTATGTGGCAGCAGCTGAGCAGGTGTGGAAGGACGAGCAGAAGGATTTTGTTTGTAACACACAGCAGCCCGGCTGTGAGAACGCCTGCTTCGACCACTTCTTCCCTATTTCGCAGGTACGTCTCTGGGCTCTGCAGCTCATCATGGTGTCAACCCCTTCACTGCTAGTAGCCCTTCATGTGGGTTACCGGGAGTACCGAGAGGCTAAACACAAGCGAAAACTGTACCAGGACAAGGGGCGCATCGATGGAGGTCTTTTCTGCACCTACACTGTGAGCCTCATCTTCAAGACAGCCTTTGAGGTGGGCTCCCTGCTGGCTTTCTACTTCCTGTATAATGGCTTTGAGGTCCCGATGCTGCTGCAGTGCAGCCAGAGCCCGTGCCCCAACACAGTGGACTGTTTCATTGCCAAAGCCACAGAGAAGAAGATCTTCCTCTACATCATGGGTTGCACTTCCGTACTATGCATTGTTCTGAACTTCACTGAGCTCATGTACATTGTGTGGAAACAGCTTTGGAAATGTTTAACGAGGAAGTATATTCCCATGGAAAAGAAGATGTTCAGCCACAGCCAGCCATCTGTTTCCATTGTCAACAAGTCTGCCTCAAATGAACCCACAGCAAACACAGAGGTGTGTATGACACAGCCAGCAGCTGCTCAGGAAAACCTGCCTGACCAGTCCTAGTGGGCTGGGACACTGCCAACATCTGACACTGAAAGAACCTCAAATGAAACCCCACACACACACACACACACACACACACACACACACACACACACACACACACACACA